TATACGAGCACCTCAATGGACATATGCCAGTTTTGAGAGGTGAACCACTTAATTCTACTTGTTAAGTTCTTATTGCTTTTACTCCGAGCCCCCCGCCGAACGCACTGGTCTTTATTAACTTCCAAATTGGTATCTAAATTAAATGATAACAGTAACGGTTTTTTCACACCATTTTTTCGTTTTGTAAATCACTCTAAATTCCTCAAATAAAATCCTAAAGCTTCATATTTACCGTCAATAATTTCTATTTTTTTTTCAATTTTAATTATTCTAAAAATATTATAGCGATTTAGGTTTAGCAAATTATAAGGCTAGCTGGATTGCAGATTCATTTCCTCTTTTTTTCTTTTCTTTTTTTTTTTTACCTAATAGTTGGCTTGCTCACTGGACATTACTAGAAGGATCTTTTGGAAGGACCACTAAACGTTGAACAAAAATATAAAGAGCATTGTATCTTTTTCGTTGATAATAATTTTACAAACTCTTTATGTCGTGACTCTTTATCTTTGCTTTAGGCCTTTGGCTCGGCTGCTGGAAAATGGTTTCCTCAAGCTTAAGGTAAAAAACACTTACAAATGACTCATCAGATTGTGAGACCAATCAATTGGTATCGTGGACTCTTGACATGGAATGCCAAATTTACCACTCAACGAAGCGTCCCTCAATGGACCATGATGGTAGTATTTCTAGGAGTTCGTATTTACCACTTAACCAACTAGGTGTTCTATTGTGACTTAGTACCCTGTTTCAGGGACTTGAACTTGTCTTGGAGACCTCTTAGGACCTAAACCTAGTACCCCAAAATCAGATGCCGACTCTTGAAAACTTGGAGGTGCATTCGTGTTGAGAAAAACAAACTTGTACATTGCAATTCAAATGAATGTTTTTAGTGTTTGTGCATTATACTAGTCATGTGGCCTTACTAGCACATGCAAACAAGGTATACCACAAGTTTGCAATGTCTAGAACTTATAGTATAATATTAATAAAATAAAATACATATAATAATATAAGTACATTAATCATACTGTGTAACATTGTGCCTACTAATATTTCTTGATCTTATCCGATCTCAATCACCCAACACAACCATAAATATTCATGTTAAAGCGGTACTTTCGTTTGAAAATAAATTGTATTTTTTGTTGCTTTTTAATAGTTGTTACAAAAGATGAGAATCAGTAAAAATCAAACATGCATTAGGGTGCGTATGTTTTCCGTCATGTGATCAAGCGTGATCTGATTGTTATCTTGTTGGAAAAAAAAAAGAAATAAAATATATTTCTTTGTTGGAAAATAAAAAATAAGAGGAATGTATTTAATTGAGATTTGAAAAGAATTTGATTGATTTATAAATTCTTGAAGTTTGAAGGAGTTTAATTGAGTTTTATAAACTCCATTAGAAATGAGACTTATGTGATTTTGATGAGGCATGCAATGAGAGGAAGCTGGAGATAAAGATGATGACAATGGGAGGACGATTGATTGTGATGGTGGGAGTAATAAGGCACTCAGATAATATCATGAGAAAGAAGAATAGACAAACTCCATCAGAATCTTAAGAGAAGAGGCAAGATTTGTTATTGTTTAATTTACACTATAAACTCCTGTAAAATCCTTCACTTTTGAAAATTCTATCAAATTGGTAATATTTTCAATACACGTGGACTTTTATAAATTCATTTGAAATCCTAATTGAATACATTAAGCTTTCTCTGGATTTTTGTAAACTCAATTGAAATCTTGATTGAATACCCCTGTACTTTCATAAACTCTTATAAAATCCCGATTGAATACTTTTGAATTTTAACTGCTTTATAATAATTAGAAATCTCAATTGAATAAGACCCCTAACACTTTGTTTGGATGAGGAAATTTAAGACTACTAAGAAATTTCAAAAATGACAAAATTTTATTTCTAGAATTTGTGCATTTTCTTGTTTGGTTTTTTTATTTTATTTTATTTTATTTTATAGAAACTATAGTATATTAAAAGGATGAGGCCAAATCAGCCACAACCCAGTCATCAAAACATAAAAGTAAGAGGATTAACAAGCCATTCACAGTGGGTACCAATTTCAGACTATATCTAGCTAAACGATGAGTGATAGAGTTGGCTTGACGTCGAACGCTCTTCGTATCCTCGACTAGCTATCCAATTGTAGACAAGTTAAATGATTCTTAAGAGCTCCCACAATCTGAAGTGAATCCCCTTCAATTAAATTACGAAAATCCCTAGTCGACGCCCAAACTGCACACTTTCTGGCTGCCAACACCTTTGCATGCAGCGGATAGTGGATGTCTTTGAAGTTCTTGCAGAAGGCTGCCACAAAAATGCCCAGGTTGTTCCTCACGGTGAAACTAACACCACCCACCTTGGATTCACGCTTCCACGTCCCGTCAAAATTGATCTTGATGCACCTCGAGGGAAGTACTTCCCATTTGGATGGTCAAGGCATCTAGGCTGCACCGAACAAGCTTGGATGCACAGAAACTCCTACCACCATGTAATGGATTTTGATGCAGTAATGTCAGGGGAATCACAAGTATTATTCCATAATTTAGAGGTCCTGCAACTCCAAATAACCTAGCAATTCATCAAAAAAGTTTTGAAACTAATGGGGACAGATTGCAAGGCTCCATTCCTAGAAAGAACAAGGCTCCATTCCACGGGGTAAGCTACCAATAGGGGAGCAGAGCCGCCAACAAGTTAAACGCAATTTTTGGGGGATGTTGGCGTTTCATAACTTTGACCATATGGAAGATTGACACACAGAAGAGGAAGAAGAAACACGATTGGTAATGGGTCATAACCAATCCCTGGCCACATAATAACTAATTTTCACAGTGAATACCCCATTTGCTTCATAGTGCCAAGTCAGGCAGTAAGAAGTATCCCGAATGCTCAGAGGTATTGAAAGGATTAGATCCATCTCCATGTCGTTGAAAAAGGGATGTAAGGAGATCACTTTTCCAGACCTTCATGTCGTGGTGAATCAGTTCCATCACCTGTTCCAAAGTGCAGCCATTAGGCTTGGGAGTCAAGATCCGGAAAGAGGATGGAAGAGAAATCCATGGGTAATGATGTCCTTAGCTGCGTATATGCTTCTCCAGCAAAAGGAGCAATTTGCCTTGACTTGAGCATCCATGAATGATGAAGAGGGAAAGTATTTCGTTGTGAGAACTCTGTCCAAGAGGGAGTCTGGGTTCGTAATCATCCGCCAAGACTGTTTAGCCAAAATTGCATGATTAAACGCGTAGAAATTTCTGAAACCCAAGCTAGCCTCTGATTTCAGAAAACATAATGTATCCCAAGAAATCCAGTGAATTTTCTTATCACCCTCAGTGTTACTCCACCAAAAGTGCGCAATAAGACGATCAAGCTCATCACAAAATTGCTTAGGGAGTAGGAAACAACTCATGAGATAGTTTGGGATAGATTGTGCCACAGCCTTGAAAGTAATTTATTTACCCGCCGCGCCCTACACCTTGCCTTTACAGCTTTCAAGTCTTTTCTGTAGTCTTTCTTATATAAAACTAAAACAGGCACGACGGTTACCCCCCACAAGAGTTGGTAGTCCAAGATACCTTTCATGAAGTTAATAATTTTGACCCCCAACATAGCAGCCAGCCGCACTTTCTCTCACTTTTTAATATTTCTACTAGAGCAGATTTCGCTTTTATTCAGGTTTACTTTTTGTTCCGAAGCACGTTCAAACTTAGACAGGATGTCAGCGACATGACCGCAATTAGAGATGATAGCACGAGTGGGCAAAAAATATCGTCAGCGAACAGTAAATGGTTCATTGAAGGACTGCCTCAGCAAAGAGAGAGACCCTGCAGTAAACCCCAACAGTCCTAGACGGAGATGATGGCCGAGAAGCCTTCCGCACAAAGCAAGAAAAGGTAGGGTAGATGGTCGCCCTGCTAAAGATCCATGATGGTTGAAAGTATCCCTGAGGGCTGTCATTTATAGTGAAAGAGTATGTAACTATTGATACATCAATCATCACCAGATTGATCCACTTACGTGGGAAGCCCAATTTTATCAAAACCCGCTGCAAGTACATCCATTCGATCCCAATGGAGTTTGAATATAGAAGTTTTATTTTTAAATTCTTTCATAAAATTTTGGAAATGACATATATTTACATATAATCTAAACTGGGAAATTGGAGGTTTCAAATTCCAAGTGTTGAAAATTCTAAATTTTAGTGTTTATAAATAAAAAAAAATATTGGTGCATGTCAATTTATAGAGTTCTAACTTTTGTCAAAGTTTTAAGTTTATTTACTTTATTGTAAAATAATGAGGTATTCATCAATTTACCCCCTGAACATGTGATCATTGACCAATTTCCCCCTTCAACTTTAATTTTGGCCAATTTTTCCCCTCAACTCTCATAATTAGTCAATTTGCACCCTACTGTTAATTTGTTTTAATTTTCCATCTATTATTCCATAAAGTAGGTATCCGCATGACTGCCTTTGAAGGGCAAAAAAAAGTCAATTTGCACCTTACTGTCATTTTTTCAATTTTCACCTTACTGTCATTTTCCGTTAAGTAGGTTTCCCTACACCTTAAATAGAGGTAGACAAGGCCAAGGGAGGCGGCGACGGGGTGTGGGCAGCTGCAAACTGCAAAAACTGCATATCAAATGAATTGGGCTGCAAATAGCGGAGGAGGGAGACGTTGGCAGCAGTGACGGGCTCGGCTTGGAGAAAAGGAAGAACAAGAGAAAGTTAGAAGAAAAGGAAAAAGATAGAAGGTGCAGGGAAAATGACTTTTTTGCTTTTTAAAAGCAGTTTGTGGATACCTACTTAATAGAAGAATAGATGAAAAATTTAAAAAATTAACAGTAGAGTGCAAATTGACTAATTATGAGAATTAAGGAGAAAAATTGGTCAAAATTAAAGTTAAAGGGAGAAATTGACCAATCTTTACAAGTTCACCGATAAATTAATGAACACTTGTAAAATAATTTGTTAAGTACAAAATGGAGGAGGTAACCAACCAAGGTGTAGGATGTAGATACTAGTGTGAAGAATTTAGACCGAGCAAAGCAAAGACAAAATTTCAAATCCCATAAATACCCTTCACCGGTCCACACGCCACCATTACCCGTCTCCTTATTTCTCCTTCTTCCCAGGTATCACTTGCATGAGACGCCATTTCCTTTCTCTCTCCTCTCCCTAAACTCCAATCCCTGCCGAAATACCGGTTAATTCAAGGGCCCAGGAAAAATGGTATCGGACTCGGAACTCCTGACCCGGCTCAGAGAAATCCTCGGTACTTCGGACCTCGACACGGCCACCGCCGGCAGCGTTCGCCGGCAACTCGAAGCCGATTTCGGAGTTGATCTGTCGGACCGGAAAAAGTTTATCCGGGACCAAATTGACATTTACCTCGAGACCCAGACCGAACCCCAAGACGAAGAAGCAGAGGAGGAGGTCGGTGAAGCCTCAGAGAACGCAGAACAAAACGACCACGTTAAGGAAGAAGACGAAGAAGAAGAGGAGGAGGAAGGGGAAGAGAAGGGAAGCAAAAGGAAAAGGAGAAAAACGTGAGTTAATTTTTATTACTCTTTTTTTTTTTTTTTTTTTTTTAATTGCAGTTTTGGATTTTCTTTAATTAGTGTTTGGTTGCTGGGAAAATTGGGTTAGTGGGTGGCAACGAAATTTAATTGTTGTGGGCTTATGAGATAAAATTTTTCTTTATTCGGATTGGGTCCCACCCACATTGTGTCGATATTTCTGAGAATTATCTGCGCCAGACGGCGGTTTTTATTGCTTTTTATCTATTGGATGGCTGAGAATTTTTATGAAAGTTGACGTCTTTTTATTGTGTTAAACTATATCAACATTGTCTGTATTGCATTTTTTATGTTAGAATCAGTGAAAGAGCCAGAAATTCTACCATGGGCTTAACCTTAGACATCTATAAGTTCAAAGTGAAAACGAAATATTTTTTTTATAAAGGCTTGTATAATAACCCAAAATCATAGTTTGAAAACTCGTTAACGACGATTTAAATGTATTATTGTATATTAACTTCTGTATTTCTAATATGACATGATTTCTATAAGGTGATTAGCTAATCAGTGATCGTTGACACAATAGAAACGAAAATAAATACAAAATGGTAAATTTCATTCATGAGCTATGTCTCTGAGGTGAGGATACGGGTCAAAAAAAAATCAAATTATCATATTTTCAATGGACCGGAAGGGTCAAAACCTTTAAAGATTTTGATATAAAAACACCAAATACAAACAATCATATAGCAAAAATTTTGCAAGTGAAAAGGGTCAAGTGATCCTCCTGAGCCTTCACTGGCTCCGCCAGTGGTTAGAATATAGTTCTTTAGTTGCAGTTTAAACAGTGAATGTTTTTCGGTGTTTCTACATGTCCACACTGGTGTGGTGCATCATCTAAAATCTCAAAGCTCATTGAATTATCAAATACTGAGGCTTTTGGCACTGGTTGCAAAATGAGGCTGACAGCAGTCTGTCTTTCTGTCTCATTCTGGAACTGAAAAGGCTCCTAATATTTTTGGGTATACCAGTTTTAAGCTGTAGTATACTTAGATATGGTTCGGGAGTACATGAGACGTCAATGTGTAGTAGTGTTGTATATGCAAGTGTACTTGTTGACAATGAATTGAAAATGTCAATGTTGTCAGTTCAGATTCCTGGCATCCCTTAATAATCACATTGAGTTCTAAGTGAATTTATATCTAGAGATATGGCCCTTAAAGTCCACCTTTGTTATTGAAAGCCCCTTTGACAATGTTATTACTTGTATGCCTAAGAATTCTGTTGTTACTTCTGTTTCGCGTAAGTTTTATTTGTTTAGAACATTATAAGAATGGAATGAAGCTCATATCATGACTAAACTGACAGGTGAAGGATAATGTGCTATATTGGGAAAGCTCATAAGCTAACATGCCTTCTCTCCTAATTAAAGCATATATCTTGAGAGAGCTTTAAGGATTGTTTAAGTTGCATTCAATTATAAGCTTATTGTAATATGATTGTGGAATTTCTCAGAGTAAGGCATTATCTTTGAAAACTTCGGGGATGAGGATTTGTTTAAATTGATTCTAGAAGAATGCGTTAGTATTTATTGTTATGTTCCCCCTTTTTGTACACAATACAATCAGACACAAGGAACGTAAGAACCTTTAGAGTATAAAGAACGAATTCTTAACCATTCACAGATCTTGCTTTTCCTCTATCTTTAATATGTTTTATTTCTTGCTAGTCTGCTATCATTTTTACCACTCGGACCTAATGTATCTACTTTTTTCTGTATTTGGTTACTTTTACCCACAATATAGAGTATATGATATATGCTGCTCTGGAAATATGTATTTGTGCTGGGCTCTAGCTTTTCTAAGCTATGTTATATTTCCAAATAGGGTGGATAAAGGTGTCGCCAAAAGAGGTGGCTTCAATAAAATATGTAGCTTGTCTCCACAACTTCAAGAATTTGTTGGGGAGCCTGAAATGGCAAGAACAGAGGTATAATTGGTTAAGCAATTTTTTATTGTTTACTTGTCAATGCCTCTTTCATTTGGACGGAGATTTGTAACCAAGAAGTCATAGTTATTCTCCCTCTTTCATTCTTAGGTGGTCAGGAGAATTTGGGCCTATATCCGGGAAAAGGATTTGCAGGACCCAAAAAATAGGAGAAATATTAGATGTGATGAATCACTACATTCCCTTTTCCGTGTTAATTCTATTAATATGTTTCAAATGAATAAAGTCCTCTCCAAGCATATATGGCCGCTTAGCGGGGAAGATGGTATGTCCAAAATTCTCTCATTTTTCTGATGACACTCATATATTGACCTAATTGTTGTCGTTCATTATTTTACTCGTTTATATTATTTTAGTACCCTGTATGTTTTCATTTGGATTTGTGCTCAATAATATATGTACTTTACATACACTTACAGTGTACTTTGTGATTGGTTTCTTCACCAAGTAGAAGGCATATTCACACTAATTTCTGTTTTCTCTTTGGAAAGTAAAGTATTAATTATAACAAATAGCATTTTGCTACAAAGCATAAAGAAAAACATGATTCTTTAAATTTGTGCTTTTTTTAATTTTAAAAGCATGATTTCTATTTTTCTTTTCTGGGTTATTTTGACTTTCTGTATCTCATAAACTAATCTCTTTTTCAGCGTGTGCATTAACTTGGGGTATTTTTTATTTTTTACAACTTCATCTGTCACAAAAAAAGTCTTCCAATTGGGATCATTGCTGTATTTCATGTAATGGTATCTATAATGCTCTTTATCATTTACCTTGACTACTGTCACCTGAAGTTGCATGTTATAGTATTTATTTGAGATCTTAACATCATAACATGGTGTAACTCAGAACCTGTAAAGAAAAAGAAGAAAGTGGAAGAAAGTGATCATTCTGTCTCTGAAGGAAGTAATGTAGCTGAACAGGAGGAAGAAGAGGTGGAGGAAAAAGAGGAGGTGGAGGTAGAAAGAGGTAGTAGACGAAAAGAAACCAAGAAACAAAGGTTGGTTTTTTAATTTCAAATCCTACCGTTTTGCGTTTAGGTTTCTGGTTTCATTAACCTTCTCATTGTTTCCACTGTTTTTTTTTTAATTTTATCTATTATGCATGGTCAGAATTTGAAAGTTTAATCCTGTAACTTGAAGACATGTCGAGATTAAATTATGATTTATTCGTTATTTATTTACAGAACCAGGCAAAACAGAATTCTTGGAGATCCAAAACTGTAATTTTTAAGCCCAATCAATGAATTCACTTATTGTCTTATTTACTTTCTTAGAAGATAACATTCGCACAGGTTTTACTTGTGATGCTTTGAATATAGCCTAACTTCCCCCTCCCCGCTCTTGAAAAAAAAGTGGCTGTTTACTGTTTATTGCATAATCAATATATACTGGGGTCCATAGTAATCTATTTTATATTCGTATGACCATCCATGGCCGTTAGGGCAAAATACCCTGGTTCTGAGGTGCTGGTGTTTATTTGTTCTAATGGAGTGTGTTATCAAGTAGGTCTACTAAAGTGGATAAAGAAGTCAAGAAAAGGGGAGGTGGTGGTGGATTTACCAAATTATGCAGCCTTTCTCCAGAACTTCAAAAGTTCACTGGAGTGTCAGCATTGGCCAGAACAGAGGTATTAATTTTAAATTTTCAAGAAACCCCTTTGACAAAGAGAGGGAAATTTCTTTTATTTAGCCAGTGGGGATTTGTTGAAAGTATGATGTCAAAACTTATTCCTCACCCATTCCATTCTTTTATGAATTAGGTCGTGAAGAAACTTTGGATTTATATCCGGGAGAACAATTTGCAAGATCCAAAGAACAAACGCGATATAATATGTGATGAGTCATTGCGTGCCCTTTTTGATGTTGATTGCATCAATATGTTTCAAATGAATAAAGCTCTGTGCAAGCACATATTGCCCTTAAATGAAGAAGGTATACATCTTAAAAAATAAGCATTTTCCCACACATTTGCAGTTTTCAGAAAGATGAATCAAATTGCACTGTGTAGAGTGGGGCACAGTTTATTGGATATGATTCTTTTTGCGCATTCATTTCCATGTTTTGTGCGTATGGATCATGATTCATGATATATAAATTGCTTGGTAGGAAAGTGTTGAAGGGATGAATTACTTAATTATTGTGATTCCTCTCCCACATATGTTGGATGGAATGGAACATAGCAAGTGCATTGCCTACATTTCACCTAGGGTTGCACATTCAACTTCGAATGAGTACTTAACATGTTTTAAAGTGTGCATTTATCCACGTAGGGCTGCTTTCTGTTTGTTTATATGTCAAGTGATTAAAGTGATGAATTTTCTCAGGAAATGCATTCAGTTATCTGGTCTACACCATTCCATCTATACTATGTTGCCATAGAATACGTAGTCTCGTGTCGAAGTTTTGACAAATATCATGGTATCTGCTTCAGTAGTTTGACAAACTGTATTACTTGTAAATCTAGCAGCTCGAGATGACGCTTCACAAAAGGAAAACCAGTCTGAAGAGGAGGAAGAAGAAGGTGAGAAAAATAAATTCAGGTCTTCAGTTTATCGAACTTTGTTGGGTTGCAAAATTATCGTTCATTTAGGCATTCATTCCACATCTTGCATGCTGGTACTGTCATAATGTCTCCAAATAAGATGTTAAGAAATGAATCAAGGTTCTCTAAGTTATGAACTTGTTAATAACATAGTCTCAGTACCATTTTAATATTTAGATTTAGTTCACCCCAAGAAAAACGAAAAACTTCTGAAGAAAGTTCGTTTTGGTCTTCTTTCTCCCCTGCCACTTCTGAATGCTCTTGTGAAATTCCTTAGTACCTGGGAAAATTTGTTTTCACGGGTTCTCTGTACGAGACTGTAGGAGTACATAAAAAATGATTTACAGGTACAGCAATTTCCTTTTCAAACCTATGCTTTCAAGATCTTAACATCATATAATTTAAGTTTTGTTAGTCACCTGGATATGACCTCTTATATTATATATGAAATATCCCAAGCCGTGAGAAATGAACCGCTGCCCGAATAAATTAAAATAACAATTTAAAACTTTTTCATAGACGTTGCTTATTTTGCTCCCTTGAGTTCATAGACATTAAAAGGCTTAATTTTCTTGCTAGTGATTGCTTGAGAAATTAAAGATTATGTGACATCAGTCTCAGCTCAAGTATGCTCGCTGTTTATGTCCTGTCACTGCAAATGATTTTAGAATGCTTTTGTGATTACACCATAGACCTTGCAGCTAGAAAATGGTTGGTTAATATATCAAGCGTTTATCTTGCAACTTTTTCATGAATCATAGTTGATGATCGTTGAGGTTGGTACACAGAGTCATTGCATAATTAGTACCAAGATATTCGATGACTGAGTATAATGCAAGGCTACTGTGATGTGAATGAAAGTTCTGAATATCGAGTTAGGCTGAGGACCATAATCAACTAGAGCTTGTGAAAAGCGTGAGGTATGACCCTTGATTTGTGCCATTGTTAGCTTTAAACTCTCTAAAGGTCAAACCTCAAAACACTGGTATCCAATTGTCGATGTTGTGAATTTCCTTTATGTCCCCCTTTTTTTTTTTTCTTGTTCTTGATAGTTGTTAATTTGTAATAAGTACCCTTGCACAAGGACAGCATCACATCACATTTCTGTATTTGGTCAAATATCGGTGTCATGTTCCACTCTAGATTTTAGAATACAAAATTGATGCCTCGCCTAGTAGTATTGTGTCTGTCATTGAATTTGTCAGTCCAACATTTAGAGAATGATAGAGCTTGTTAACTTTTTTGCTTATTGCCGTTCCACCTTTTTCCCAGTTCCTTGAAGTCCCACTGTATCTTGGTGCTGAATTTTTTGATCTCATACCTACTTTTTTGGCTGTTTCGCCCCCCTTGAAGGATCCGACTGATAAGCAGAGTACCATTCATGATGATAAGCTAAAAGAACTTTTTGAGGTCGACTCTTCCATTGGCTTCTCAGTTTCAGAGGTTCTGACTACTCATTTTCATCAAGACAGGACAGATTGATGATGAAGTGTAAATACTTTGAGCCCAATTGAAAGATGGCATTTTTACACTAGTTGTTATCGTTTCTGTAGTTTTGTAGTTCTTATGCTCCTAACATCTTCAAGCAATGGAAATACAAGTTTTGGTAAACTTGTTCTTGCTTACTATGCTCCCCCTTGCAGTTTCTTTTCATATGTTTACAGCTTAACTTTTCGGGTTCTTTCTCCATTTCTAAAGAGTTTCAATGGTTTAGCGTAGAAGTTGAAACTGAAGGTGGATAGAAAGGACTTTAGTCCTTGTTATTGTCTTGCAGCAGCTGTTCAATTGTTGGCGAAAGAAATATATTTTTTCTGGCATGTAGTTTCATTTTTTAGCCGATCTTCCTGCCTATGTGTGCGTAGAATATATACCAACTAGCCTTTGGTCTAGTTGCAGTCGTCACAAATTGGTTGAAAGAGGTTCATGTTCGATTGATGTGGGTGCGAGGATGATATATATTTGTAAAAAGTTTGGTGCATAGTTGAGGCTAGATGAGGATCCTCTACGGATCCTCTACTCATCCCTAGGATCCTCCCAAAGAGAATCCGGATAGAATCCTAGGCTCTAACACAAAATTGCAGGGTGTGTAGTGGCAGCAGCAGCTATACATCGTGACACGCTGAGACTGGAGGCATGATGCCCTTGTTATTGTATAGTGACATTCTCATAATGGAGGATAATAATGCGCAATCAACATACACAATGAAAATGGCTCTAGTATGGACATTAACTTCATCATCCGTGATCTTGTGTTCGATTTCCCTTCTCCAAAAGTATCAAAATTTCTAAAAAGCAACCTATGCAGCTGCCACTTTTTTTCGTGATCTCGTGTTCGATTTTCTCTCTCTCCTAACTCATCAAACCTCCCCACTTAGATGGCATCCATCTTACAACACATATGGCAGGATCTGTAGGTGGGTAAAATTGTGTTAGATCATGCTTCGTAAAGACTCGTGCCTAAATTACACGACGTCGTTTTAAGTCATGTTAACGAGTCATAAAGACTTTATTTTGCACAATTGATAATGATCCATTCTATCCAACCAAACAAGAAGAAAAAGGAAAAGGGAAATTGGGATTAAGGGGATGAGACAAGTGAGGGTCATCATTTCGGCAGTAGCCACGGTTTTTTTCATCTGAGGCTCTTGCAAAAGAGTTAAGCACCCCTAAAATGTTCCTGGCTGCTTTGCTTGTGGCTTTAGCAAATAACAAACATTCGTTTGCAAACACTAGGTTCAGGATTTTAAAACCACAAGGAGAGGTTAGCAGACCCCAATGGTGGTGCTAGAAATTTTTTACCGGATGGGCTAGCTCAAAGATTTAAATCTTTATAAACAAAGAAAAATTTTAACAGTATCAGCTAGCTTAAGAAAATTTTCACAAGGTGAGCCAAGAAGTTTCGTTATTCAAACAAATTCAAACTTGTACATGTACAAGAAGCGATTGAGAAAAAAGATGCGAGAAAAAGAGATGGTTTGTAAATTGTATTATATAATTAAAACGAGAGAACTTGAATCAGTAATTAAATATATGATGAGCTACATTCGAAAATCAATAAAAACTACATGTAAAATTTTATTTTCTACCGAAGGCTACCTGGGCTACAGCCTAAGGTAGCCCTTAATGTGGCTCCGTGGGTGGCAGACCCACATGATTCTTAGAAGACCTTGTCAAAGCATTCATATGTCTAATTAAAGGTTCCGTACAAAGAATGAAAATATAAGGAGAGGGAAGATCTCCTTGTCTAATACCTTGCTTAGGATAAAATTAACCGTGAGCATTTCCATTTATCAAGATGGAGAAAGAGGCATAAGTAATGCACTTCATAACCAAGTTTCACCCATTTAAAATGAAAGCCAAACCTTAAGAGAACATACTTGATGAAATCCCAGTTTAACAAATCATAAGCTTTTTCCAAGTCTAATTTGATGGTCATAACCCGGTCTTTCCTTTTTTTTTTTAATTTTTTTTTATTTTTTGTCCTTTGAAGCCAGAGAATATCTCATGGGCAATCAAAACATTGTCTTGACTAGAAAGACTAGGGGCAAAGGCACCTTGGTTCATTGAAATGCAATGGTCTAATAAAGGCTTTAACCTTTTAATGATGACCTTTGTAATAATCTTGTAGCTTACTTTACAGAGACCAATAGGTCTACAATTACTCACAGTTTCTAATTTTTTCACATTGGTGGTGAGGGCTATATTAATATGATTTATAACGGACTCCCTGCCTACTTCCCAACAGCCTTGGTAGAAGCTTGCTTGGAGTCCATCAGGACCAGGGGCTTTCAAATCACTAGGATTTATGGATAGGGTTAAGCATCAAAATTTCCTCCCATAAATCTGTTTGCAGATTCCTTTAAGGGAGCATATACAGAAAACTAATAATCTATAATTGATCAAGACTGATATCTTAACTACTTAACAAATGTAACGATAACTAGAGACCAGGGACGGAGCCACTATAGTAGGCCTAGAGGATGCCCCCCACTCAAAATTTTTTTTTTGGGTGCAGAAAAATTGTACAATTTTGCATCTCATTGACCAACCCTAATTAAAATAAAAATTAAACCCTATATGTTAATTGGTATCAAGGGAAATGCTAAGGAAACTCTTCCAAAAGTCTCCATGGACTTTCCGTCACCTTATGTTTTTAGCAAATCCCCGTATCACCATTATTAAACATTGTGCTAAAAATATGAGGTGGCAGAGAGTCCATGGAGAGTCCCACTTTGAGAGAGTCTTCTTGGCATTTCTCTTAGTATCAATATGCCTTGACTTAGCCAACAATGATTCTAAGTGTTTTGTATGAAAAACTTTATAGATTAATATATAAGTGTTTATTTAGTAAATTTTTTAGCTTTTTGATTGTAACTTTGTTGTTTGGGGATACCCCCATTCATACAAATCTCTGGCTTAGTCTCTGCTAGAGACAATACAATAATTGATAAAATCAAAGAGTTCCAATAAAGAAAGAGACCACCAGTCTGGCTATTAGGGTTAGAATTATACATAGATAGCTCATATCATTCAAACCTTAAAAATCTGGGAAGAGCTTGAACTGGAATTTATCCATCTTCCATTAGCATTCTGATACTGAGTAAATTACCTTAGGTCAAGGCCAAGATTTCCATCTTCTTCTTGGACAAATTTGTGGAGGCAAATTTCCCTCTTCTTCTTCTTGGACAAAATTGCACCTACAAAACAAATAACACCTTAGGTCAAACCCAAGAGCCTCACGTGCCCACGAGGAATTGAGGGGGGGGGGGGGGAGGGGTTTGGCTGAAAAACCTCCGATGGCAAAGTTAGAATTTTGAGGGAAAAGTGTTTGGACAATTTAGAGAATTTAGCAAGAGTGTAGAACTTAGGTTTTGGAGAAAATGAAGGTGTTTATATAGGGGTGTGGCCGGCCCCTTTGGGAGGATATGGACTGGCCATTTGGATGGTTTTTTGGGTGAGATTCATGATTTGTAGCTAATTAATAAATTAATTGAATAATAAATAAATAAATTAGCTAATTAATATGATTTGAAAGGAAAGATTTGGGGGTTACCTTGTGGAGAATATTTGATGAGGATGAATGAAATAGGTTTCAAATAAATACCTATTTTGGGCACTTTTGACTTGATTGAAGGATGGTTGTCCACTGCTCGCGCGTAGAAGTTCCGGTGTTCCTCGATGGTAGTTTTGTCATTTTTACCCTAAAATCCACATGTCACCTCCATATTCTTCTTGATTATTTTTTGCTCCACGTTTATGTTTTTAGCACAATCCCCGTATCAACATTATTAAACATTGTGCAAAAAAAATATGATGTGGTGGAGAGTCCATGGAGAGTTTCACTTTGAGAGAGTCTTCTTAACATTTCTCTTAGTATCAATATGACTGACTTAGCCAACAATGATTCTAAGTGTTTTGTATGAAAAACTTTATAGATTAATATTTAAGTGTTTGTTTAGTAAAATTTTTAGCTTTTTAATTGTAACTTTGTTGTTTGGGTCATACAAATCTCTAGCTTTGTCCCTACTAGAGACAATACAATAATTGATAAAATCAAAGAGTTCCAACAAAGAAAGAGACCACCAGTCCTGCAATCAGGGTCAAAATTACACATAGAGCTCATATCATTCAAACCTTAAAAATCTGGGAAGAGCTTGAACTGGAATTTATCCATCTTCCATTAGCATTCTAATACTGAGTAAATTACCTAAGAGAGTGCTAACTCCAGAGGAATTATCACTCAGAACACTAAACCTCACTTGCTGACGCTCGTTGTTCTCCAGTCCTGCACCAAATCTGCCTTAGGAATCCATTTGTGTTTCGATCCTTCCACTACCTCCTTATAAGGTTTTTCATCTCTCATTACTTCTCATTTTTTGCACCTGTCCACCTTCATTTGCACCTTGGGATTACAGTTGTCCATCGTTCATCATCCTAAGCATTATCTTCCACTCTTTGCCCAAGCTCTTCAATTTCCGTGTTTTCCTCTTCCACATTGACAGCAAATAGGAAACAAAGCATGGCTTCCTTATGGAGATTTGACTTAATATCCTCATTGACCTGTGTATCCTCAGGGTAGATTAAAGGTTCATCATAAATAACCCTATTTATCATAAAAAAACGATCTTCAACTTTTTGACACAAGTGACCTTTTATCCTTCTTTTGCCGCAGTAAAAACAGATTTCAAACAGCGTTTCATAACTAATAAGAATGGGGTTATCCTCATGCCTACTGATGATCAGTACCCTCTTCAAAGGGAACCTATTATCCACCTTAATCAGAACTTTCACGAAAACATCATTGAGATCAAGTGTGATCTCATCCACTTTCATGATCATGCCTAATGGTTGTGAGATATCTTTGAAGATATTATCCTCCTTGTACCGCATCGGAACCTTTGGTAGGTGAACCCACCACATCACCAATTCGGAGATTATACCCATATCACAGAATTGAATAGTCCAGCGCTCAAGGTGGAATATTTTTGGCCTCTAACATACCAAAGTCTATTCTCGAGAACATAATGCAGGTCATCCTCATCAGTGAATTCCAAGACAAACCATCTACGACCAAAGTAGTCCAAGTTGAAGGTATTTTTCACCTCGTTTTTCCAAGTAAACTCAGC